TCTTTCTATCTCAGCAATATCAAAAATGTAAATCTTCTGTGGAAAGGCACGACTAGAGTGCCAAGTGATTGTGGCCACAAATATCAATTGGAAATAAAAATGGAATTAAAACTGCCTCAACTGCCAAGTTCTTTAAATACTACGTAATCAAAATTCTTCTTCAATATGGATCTAATCACGCATCTACACTGCTCCGTCTTTTTTCCTTTGCTCTTATTATGACATATATATATGTAATAATAAAATTCCATAGTCAAGAATACACTTAAAATTCTAACTGTATGTTCTTTTTCATTTTTAATGGCGGCGTTCTATTATTTGAAAGTACGTGGAATTAAATCCCAAAAAAAAAAAAAAAAAAAAAAAAAAGAAAAAAAAAAAAAAAAAAAAAAAAAAAAAAAAAAAAAAAAAAAAAAAAACAGCCCCGTAGTCAAGTTTTTTTTCCCGCCTTTTCTACACGTACAGTTATAGAATGTTCTGGAAATATTTAAAGCGAACTGGATTGGCTGACGTCATTTCTTGGAAGCTCCGCCTTTCCAGAGGCTATAAAAGGACTCGCAAAAAATATCGGGGTTTTTTTCTTAAATGTCACGATGCAGTAAACTTCATACAAAATGTTATTAGTAATTCTTTTTTATTTACTTCCGGATATCTGATTTTTGTAACTGCTATTTCTACTGAATAATAATAAATGGATCCTGTTTTTTAAAATTATCGTTTATCTTTGAGTCAACTTGTCTATGTTTATTTAAGCTATTTACGACTAAAGCTGGTACATCACATATATATATAGTTCAGAAGAAATAAACCTTCTATGAAAAAACAAAAACTTTCGGGCATTTTTATATCCGTGGCCGTTTTCGAAAGTAGCTCTTTCCCAAAATACTCCCCATATTGGAAATCTTTCTCGACTGCGTGGATTCTACACATTTAACATGAATGTCGTGCGAAGCGTGAAGCAGATCATGAAGCGTAAAAAATCCACGCGATAGGGGAATTCTTAACGCCGGGAAAAATGGAGATATCTGCTATCAGGACTCGGTTCTTCCACCACCACCCATTCCACTCCTTTCAGAACATTGATCGTTAGATTGCAGTATCTATAACAGCGTTAACAAGAAACCGAACTATTTTTCACCCATGGCCGTTTTGATTGATTGTGTCACAAAATGTGAAATACTTAAAATATACTGAAGATTTTCTTGCTGCACGAAAGACTATACAGCAAGTAATAAAAAATGCAATACTTGCTTCATTACTTCAGCTTTAGAAATTTTATTTTTGACGAACAAGTCACACAATTCCGAGGATTCCACGTTCGTCATTGTAAAATATTCAGAATGCTTAAAAATCTGTCTGTTTAAGAGAAAAGGTTTTCAAATGCTTTATTATAGCCTATGTACTTGATTCATTTACAACTGATCAAGATATTACAAATTAGGCTTGTACACGAAAATTCAAGCTTTATGATAATACTTAAACAACGTGCATATAATTTGGGAAACATTCTAAGTCTAATCACAAACACCCTTATCACTTGACTATTCTACAATCTTACATTCTAAGTGAAAAAAATCTGATGTTAGACACCACAAAATTTCCTTGTATGGAATATTAAATTATACCCATTTTTTTGCTCCATTTCATTTAAACTCATTTCCTCGAATTTCATTAGAGATATATTTCTCCTTCAATTAATTCAGTTCTCACTTCGCGGCCAGGCAAAAGTACATAAAATCTCAAAATATCTTCATTAAAAATTGAAAAATGTAGAAAAAGATGAAACGCCAAATACAGTTAAAACAATTTTAAAAAAATTACAATTAAAATTAGAGTTTCTACGCAAAAATAAGGCATATTTTTTGGTGCACAAAACTGAACGTTTACTTGGGTCTCACTTGGTAAAAACACACTGAAGGTGCAGAAGCTGAATTCACTATTCTGCTAAGTTTCAAATGTAAACAAACATGGCTGCTATGGTGAACAAATATTAGGCTTATCCTCACTTAAACAACTTTTAAATTATTGATAATTCTACAACTGTTGCACGCAGATTAACTAAAGGTATAAAAAACTTAACCGGAATATAAAAACAGCATAATTCAATCATTTTTAAAGCAAAAAATCCACAATTTACCAACATATAAGAAAAAACAAACTAAACTCACCGAGCCGAGTAATAGAGTGGGTAAATATATATAGACTTTTGGTGGGGCCATTGGCAACAGAAAAGGGAGGTGCACAACTACATGTTATAGCACTCCTATATACAAAATTTTAACGTGCTGAGGCTACTCGTTTTTTATTTATGCGAAATACATACATACGTACAGACGTCAGGCAAAAAAATCTCCATTTTGCAACCCGCTTTGGGAAAAACAATCCTTTATTCTGTCCTTACGTACAGATGTCTCACCAAAATATCGTTAAATTGCATTCAATGGCGGTCAAAACGGATATTTTCGTTAAAATATGACCTATGGAATTTTTCGTGGTTAGAATACTTCCTTTACATCGTACAAGCAAGTAAAAAGGAAGTATGTAGGATTTTAATTCCATTAATAGCTATTTTAATTTTCAAGGCTTTCCTGATTTCTCTTATTCCCCTTGTAATGGGTTAGGTTGAACAGAGTATTTGAACTGGTGAAGCGGAAGGGTTAGACAGAGCGTGATTTCGCTACTGTGAACTCACGCTGCTATTTTCCTGCAACTGTTAACCTTAATATTGGGTTGCGCATTCTTGCCGCCGAATTATTGTGCCGGTGTAGGCTTCGAGTCAACCTGTTAGCTTCAATTGAACTGTGTAGTCTGGCATTAATCTTTACCTTTAAATTTAATGTTACATTATCTTTTAAATTCTCATTTCAAGTGGTCGGTGTTGTTTATAAGCACGTAAGCCCGTGCCGTCTGTTAATTATACTGTGTTCAATAAAAGCGTCTTTTACGCCCTTTTCCTGCTTGTGTTCATCTTCTAGTCTGTGCGAGAATTTAGATGAAATAAATTTCATTCCATTCTTCAAATGGAATAAATTTCATTCATTTCCGTCAATTCCTTCAGAGTGGTGCATTTTTCACCAACATTTAAAGAAATTAAATAATGAAGAAATTGCATGCATGTATAGATGTTCCTCGCATCGTGAAAAGCGACGGTACCTAGAGGTATTAAATTTTGAATAGCGTTGTCCTCCACCCGGACGTGGGCACCTTTCGAATTTTATTTTTCATATTTTGTAAAACTTGAATGAATGAATAAACTCAACAATATGAAAGAGTGCGACATTGTGCGGAACAAAACATTTTTATCTGCGGCGCGCGAGACTGTCGGAAATTCTAAAATTATGCCCTTTTTTAAATATTTTTTGATTTTGCTGTTGAATCTAATTTTAGTGGCCTACACGCCTAGAACCTGATATTTAACAGATGAATGAAAAAACACAAACTCGAATTTCTTAAAAGAGCTCAAATAGAATTTCATTTTTATCAACTTAGTTCTCAATTTACAGTAAAAGTTATTCTGAAAGATTATGCCTAACAGTATACCCGAACAAGCCCTCTACGATGATCTAAAAATAGTTTTCCAGTCTTCTTCTATTCTTTTGAGTAAAGCAATTCATCAAAAGAATAGAAGATAAATTTATCAAACTACCCCATCTATTTCATTGAAATTGAAGGAGATAAAGCAGGAGAAGCTATACATAATATTAATAATATCTTTAACTTCACATTGCTGTTGAAAAATACGCATCTAAAACTAAAAGACCAATTTATTGTTTTAAATGTCAAGCTTATGGACACTCCCAAACAAACTGTTTTAAAAAATATATTTGTTGTAAATGCTCTAAGAATCACAGATCAAATACTTGCACTCTAAAACGTGGGAGAGAAAAGAAAAAAAAAAAAAAAAAAAACCTGTTTGTTATTTTTTTGCCGGGAGACCATGTCAGGTATCGTGGATGTTCGGTATATAAACAGAGATTACAAACTCCTGAAACCCAAGAAAAAACTCAACCCATACCCACAGAAGCTTCCTACTTTAACAAATTCAGACGCAAGAAACCAAGAAATTCCAAAGAATATCCTGTTCAGTACGGTCGCCAATCAACAGAAGATCCCTGAAAAAGAAATCGCTGATGTATTCCAAATTTTTTAAGACCCTAAAATATTTAAATTCGTACAAGAAATGAACGAAATTGCAGAAAAAAAATCTAGCGGTCTAAATCTAGTACCGGGAAACTTGCCACAGCTTTTGAAGCAGTTAAGATTATACGGTTATTCTCCCGCTTTCCTAGCGTGCCTTCGTGGTGTAGTGGTTCTGCACGCTGGGCCGGTATTTCAGAGGTCCGTGGTTCGATTCCCGGCGAAGGCGGTTGCTATTTTTCATCTCTCCGGCTTTTCCAAAAATATCTTATGTCTTTACAAAATTACTTTAAATTTCGCAGAAATTCGCTTAACTAAGAAGATGATTTTAAAGTGAAGTTCATTTCCCAGTCACCAGATGGCGACTCCCTAGACAAAGAACTAAGCCTAAATCTCGATTTCTAGCTCAACTTCTACCGGGGCCAAAAGATGGCGCCACTTGCTGTGCACTAGAAGTGCACTCTCCCCTTCCTTCATAAAGGTATGAATCATTCAGGAACCCTCTTCAGGGAACGATATTTGTTTTGGTAAAGGCTCTTAATAGGGCCGAATACCAAAAACTATGACTCGGTTACGTATTTTCTGCTTCCTTTCCGGCTGTTTTTACAGCACGTCCGGCTAGCAATTGAGAGATCCTGTGTTGCAATCCCGGCGAGAGCACTGCACATTTTTCACATCTTCTGGATCGACAAATCTGATGACTGTATACATGTGGATGTAGTACTCCCATTCATTTTCTCAAGTCACTTTTTTATTTGTTGATAAAATGCTGTATATTCCTACTGCTCCAAACAGTAACTGCTTAAATAATTAGCATGTAACTTTAAGTTGTCCTAATTTTCTTCTTCTTCTCTTTGTGGCAGCTGCGGTCCGAGCTACTGAAACTGCCAAAGGAGGCATCAAGTATGAGCTTGTGCTATCCGAGCCCTCCGTCAATGATCCTCCCAAAAAGGATCAGATCACCTCCCCACCGAAAACTATGTCAGTCGAGGAAATCGAACAAAAGCTCAAAGCAGCTGAGGAGAGGAGGCTTGTAAGTATCTATTCTCAAAGTATCAATGAAATGTTTCCAACGAATTTAGTCATGGATACGTGGAATTCGACGAAATAACCTCTCCACCCAGTGGTAAATGAACCTGATTACTAAGTTACGGATATACAGTATCGGACGTAATATAAAGCAATCTGACATACGAAACACCTTGGATTTTTGAAAGGTATCAAGAAAAAGACTTGGTATTTTCTTGTTTCGTCGGGCTTGTTTACAGACATTAATAATGTCGTGATTTAATATTGAACGATATGTTTTCTTACATATATTATTTACTTTATTCCAGGGTTTCTTTAGCTTTTTGGTGTGGGGAGCCCATAATATTTACGCATATTTTGTGGGGCCCCGTAAGCATTGCGTAACTGTCACGTGACACACGCGTGAGTGAAACTGCTAGTTTCTTCACTTGTAATGTACTACTGCAGTTTTTGGTTATCAACTTTAATTTTCAAAGTAAAATGAACATTTCTATTATAAAAAAATGCGTCGAAACGTTTTCGTTTTTTCTTTGTCTGCATTGTCTTATCTTTACCTATTTTCAGATTATGTAAAAATATTTGGTAATTGTAAGTTAAAGAAGTATTAAAATTGCTAAAATTTTTGGCGAACCTCTACTGCAGGTCTCGCCACCCATATTTAAGAAATTCTGCTTTATTTCTTTCTTAATATTAAATACAATTTATAAAAATATGTTTACATTATGTTTAAAAATAATATCTAGCACTGCTAGCCCAAATTTCTTGGATCAAAATTTCAAGTGATCCAGGAAATTTTCAATAACTTGTTAGAAGTTCGGCTCCTAACTCCCGAATTGCTTATCAAATATTAGTTTTAAACTCAATGATTGCATGATTTAAGGCTTCCATATTGGATAATTGCGCTTGCTTTTACCTCTGCTTCTGTGCTCTTTTTTTATCGCAAGACTATCAAAAATGTAAATATTCTGGAAATGGACACGATTAGATTGCCAAGTGAATTGTGGCCACCGATGTCAATTGAAATAAAGTTGAATATTTAATCTTTCTCGGTTGCTGAATTTTCTCTTCAGTATAGATCTACGTTTTAGGCCCAACATTGCCATGTCTTTGGACGTATATAACTCGCATAGGAAACTTAATTTCCAGTAAAAAAGAAAGCGAAAATAATTAGTCTATTCTTATAAAAAATCCTATTGTTGTTATTATAACATTGTTTAATATTAAAATAAAAATTCAGTGAGTGAAATATATATTATATATACAGGGTGATCATAAAAGAAACTTACCGAATATATGAACTCCTGACAGCCTATTCGTTCAACCAATCGCAATGAGATTTCAGATACTATTATTTGAAATTATGATCTCGAGATTGTGATGATTTAAAACAACAGAGTTCTCACGATTATGGTTACTGTGAACAAACTTCGAAATTTTCGAATACCAACACCCATTCGAACTCAAAGAGTATGAACTTAAAGAACCTGAGTTACCCGTATTTAATCTAACTGCTGACCTAATGAGGAAAAAGAGTAAAACATTCCGTTTTGGTGGAACAAGGTTGGTTAAGTAATTCATTTAAAGAATTTCTGATATAGATATCAAAATTTGAAAATTCTATACGACGAAAGAAAATTTGTTGTTTTTGTTGAGTGAAAGCCGACTTCATTATTTGTTCATGCGCAAGAATTGTCAACTGTAAAGATAGGGAGGGCTGTGCAGTCGGTAGGGAAAATGACCGACTCCTGGAATTTTAAAGACTCTGACTCCGACTCGACTCCCTCACACATATATATATATGTAAACATATACTCATTTTTTTAATAATAGTAATAGATGAATACAATAATAATGAAGTAATATATGCTACAGAAAAAATTGATAGCATAGCAAATTATTTATATTAATTAGCATTTATTATGAAATGAAAAAACTGGCATTAGTTAATTAAGACACAATAACACGCCGAACAAATAATAATTCAGAAGTCAAACAAAAAAAATCAGCGTTATATTTTCAAAATTTTCACAGGACTAGTTTCGATGGTTTTACCGAACCACCATCCTCAGCTGCATTTGCAGCTGAGGATGGTGGTTCATTAATTATTATGGCATTAGTTATTTCTAAGAAGAGTATAGCTTCGGCAAGATGTTCTTTCTTGGAGGGCCATAGATCCGATTTGATAAACTTCAGAGCTGAGAACTTTCCACACTAACTTGAGTAGGGGGAAGAGTTGTTACTGTCAGCGCTACTTTTTTTTAACTTTTTAGGATAGATTTTTATAAGTTCTAAAAGAGGTGTTTTGCAAGCGCAATCATATTTCTCTATTTCTTCAAAGGACGTGTTATTTGTATTTTTTCATTTTTATATCTAAAGGATCTTAGTTTAATTAATACACAATAACACGCCGAATAAATACTAATTCAGAAGTCAAACAACAAAAATCAGCGTTATACCCACAAAACTTTCACAGGACTAGTTTCGATGGTTTTACCGAACCATCATCTTCAGCTGCAAAACCGCAAATGAACAAGATAGGAATAATGATTAGATAAGATAAGAAAGCCTGGACAAGAATAAGCAAGTGGCGCCATCTGTTGGCGAAACCAGAACTAAAACATAATTTCTCTAAAAGGCGAAGGCAAATTTGGATTGGAATTAGGATCGTTAACTAGAACAGAAAGATTTTTATGAATGTGAAATGCCTCTAGAAAATCCAGTTCTCCAATGGAAGATGTTTTTTGAATAATTTTGGCAGCAGCAGAAAAATTGAAAGTGTGATTTTCGGACCAACAATGTTGAGCAACAGAAGACTTCTGTGTTTCCTTTTTTCTAACATATGCCTCATGTTCTTTGACGCAAAATTTTAAGGCTCTCTTAGTTTGGCCAATGTAAATTAAACCACACTGGCAAGGAATCCTATAAATACCCCAGAAATTCATATCCGGAATGGGGTCCTTGAGTATAGAAGTTGGAATTTTATTGATGGGAGAATAAACAACCCGAAAGTTAAATTTCTGCAAAATATGTGCAACTTTATAGCTAATTGATGGAAAGAAGGGAATGACAACAGTATTTTTATAATCTCCTAAAATAAGAGTGTGGCTTTTAGTGTGTTGAGATGAGAATTTTTTAACTGCTTGATTAATAATGTTGGGGTGAAAAGCCCCTGTCAATAGCTATTGCTTTTAAATAATTTAGTTCTTCATCAAGGGCTAGTTTGGAGGAGCAAACTTGAAGAGCACGGAAAACATAGGAATAAAATGAAGCTAACTTTTGTTTAGTCGGATGACATGATTTAAAGTGTGGTGGAAGGCAAACCGATGAAGGTTTACGGTAAACTGTAGTACTGAAGTTGGATGTGTTACGTGTGACCAGAATGTCGAGAAACGGAAGAAAATTGCAAGTCTCAAGTTCAAAAGTGAACTGAATAGCAGGATCAATAGAATTCATTGTTGAAAGAACTCTATTTAAATCATCTTTATTACCTTCAAACAGGGTAAAAGTATCGTCTACGTAGCGGAACCATGCCGGGAAGTTTTAAAGTTTCAAACAATTTTGATTCATAGTAATGCATGTAGATATCAGCCAGGATGGGACTGAGGGGGCTTCCCATGGCTAATCCCTCAGTTTGCTTGTAATATTTATTTTGGAAAACAAAATGTTTGTTGTTTCAAACAGAGTTGAGTGAGAGAAATTAGCTCCTCAATTTCGATGCAAGAGAAATGAAATTCGCGAAGTCTGGTTTCTAGACATCTTAATGCACCCTCCACCGGGACATTGGTGAATAATGATTTTACATCAAAAGAAACCATGAGTAAATTTACTAGGAGAAATGTTTTTAACCTTTTTTTACAAACTCTATTGAATTTTTTATGGTGTAAGATGTTATTGTCTAATAGAGTTGGAAAATCTAGAAACTAAATATTTAGCTAACGGGATACGAGGCAGTACCTTAAATTAGATACAATAAGGGTGAAAAGGAATACCACTTTTATGAATTTTTGGGAAGAGCATATATCTGGCACAATTCGCAACAGATGGGATAAGCGAATGTTTTAAGTTGCTTGAAATGATTTGCGAAGATTTGATCGCAGTTTTTATTTTGGATAAGTCCGAAGGTGAAGGATCTTTAGGGATCGGATCTTAGTTTATTAACAAACTGTAATCTCAATTTTTTTATTAACAAACTCTAATCTCCAGGGTGCGAGACTGTTGCTAGTCGGCAAAATGAGGACGAAAATGAGCGTTTTCAGAGTTTTTAATTAATGTCCCTAATTTTAGCTACTTTTTTTTTTTTTTTTTTTTTTTTTTTTTTTTAAGTAGACGCCGACTTACCCAGAACCCAGAAAAGAACTGTAGAAAGTTTGGTGACGATTGGTATAGTAGTGACTGAGTTAATCGCGAACAAACACACAGACATTCTTCCCTACGCATAGTTTAATTATTTATGTATTTAACAAATAATATATTATTTATAACGGCACAAATATACGAGAAGCATTTAAACGTAAACATGACAAAATGTATATTACGAGGCTATCTCATCAGATGAGTGGGCCATTCCTACTTTCTCTCAGGAGACTAGCTGTTTATGGCCTTTGTATATGTGAATTTTTTAACAGCCTTTGGCTATGCTTTGAATATTTAATAAATGTAACGCTGAGTAGCTCCTTTTGATGAAATAGATAAAAATTTACCTGCATATAACCGTAAAGTATGACGAAATGTGCAATTATTTTTCCTTTTGTTGCTAAATTCTATATGCAGAGTGGAACTTTGATTATCCGTCAATCTAAGCACCGACATCGTGCTGGATAGAAGAATAGGCACATAATGGAAATATTTCCGACCTAAAACATCAGCTACAAACAGTTCATAATGCATATTTCTAGAACTGAACATTTTTGGGTAGAGATACAAATCAAGATTAGGATTCATAATTGTATAAGTTATTTCTACCTGCCTTCTTAGCGTGCTTTCGTGGTGTAGCGGTCAGCATGGTAGGGGCGTATTCCAGAGGTCCATGGTTCGATTCCCGGCGAAGGTAATGCTCATTTTCCATCTCTCCTGCTTCCAATTAACCTAATGTCTCCATACTGGCGCCCGAACTAAAACGGTGGTGGATGATGATTCTCCACACTCAGGATTTCGCGATTGCGTCCCCTAAAACCCCAGTCGCCTTTTAAAAGGCGGAGTGTATAAGGTATTTCTCCCACCTTCTTAGCATGCCTTCGTAGTGTAGTGGTCTGCATGCTGGGTATGTATGCGTGAGGTCCGTGGTTCGATTCCTTGCGAGGGCGTTGCTCATTTTTCATTTCTCCTGCTTTAAAAATAACCTAACGTTTGATTGGATTTTAAGTCCTGAGTTTTCCTGCGATTATTAAGGGTTAAAAATATAATATGTAAGGCATAGTCAAAAGGTGTGTACCCATAATAACTATCATGTATTTACAACATGACTCATCCAAACCGCTTTAATTTAATATTGTTATTTATTACCATATAAGGAGAGAACGTTTCATTGGAATTTAGCACAGAAACATGCGATTTTACAAACTGCTTAGCAAATTATTTATAAAACATGATAATCCATGATTGGAATACTTGCGCAATCATTTTTAACAGAAAATATTTTTATAGTAGTCATGTTTTATAACGTTATATTAGTGTTACTGTTGTATTTACTAATAGTATTTTATTCTTAAAAAGCATTTTAGCCTGTTTTAACTAGAAAAACTAAAAAACTAGAATTACTATTTTAACTACAACTAGAAAACTTTTATAACTAGAATAACTAAATTGCAGTAACTAAAAAAAATATATTATTCCTTGAGGCAGGTTGTAAATGACATCAAAATGTGCAAATTTTAAAATTAAATAAAGCCCAGACATCACGATAGAATCCATGTTAAATTCATTTTACAATCGGATTTTTTTTTGGGGGGAAGAAGAGTCTTTTATTCTGCCAGTGTGTACAGGTGGGAGGAAAAAACAAAGGGAGAGTAAAAATGGATTTGGGAACGGACAAAATGGTTATTTGCGTTGAAATAGGATACCCGAGATTTTTCACAATTACAATAATTCCTTTACTTTATACAGGAATCAATAACAACAACAACAACAACAACAACAAAAAATGTAAATGCATTAGTGTCCAAGTCAAAATAATAACATTAAACACTGATAGTTTGTTCCGAGTTCGTTCGTGGCGAATGGAATAACTACGTAAGATTCTCTATGTAACTGACGTGACGGCTTTCATCATTTAGTATTGTTACGTTATTTTCTTCCTTCACGTTCGTACGGGGTTCGTAGATTTGGAGTGAATAACGACGACACTTGATAAAGTATCGAAACAAACTTATATTTACCAGTATTAATCAGATAGCTTCAAAATCACTTTTACAGTCGTCGAACTGTTATAAACAAAGCTGACACGTTCAGCTTCACTGCAAATCACCCGAGTACAGCCCAACTCTGGTTGGTCGTTCTCGGAACTCCACGTACTCTCGAGACTCTCCCCGCGATGCATTCGACGATACACAAGAGTATAGCTCTCGACTCAACACAGTCTAAGACAAAACACGACGATGCACTAATTCGCAATGTACTAAAAGACTCTGTCGGTGCACTCGAAGACCAACTCGGCACTAGACTTCCGAGACACTCGCTCAGTGACTGACTATCAGCTCGCTAGACGAGGCACACACACTACACTCTATGAGAGGTACACACTCATACTAACTCACTCTCCGCGAACCAGCAGGGTTTATATAGCAGCTTTTGACTAATGTTCGAGAACATTCTGGGCTAAACCGGTAAGAATTCGTTCCAGAAGGTTCTCTATCCGTCCGTGGCATATCGCCAATTTGTCGCCAAATGGACGATTTCTCTCTAAATATGGCAACCCTTCTTTCCTTTCTATTTTATGGCAACCCTAAAACTGCTTTTCGGGTAAGCCATCTTACCGCGCTTGTACATTTCGTAACAGTATATTATTTAGTTACCATTTCATTACCTAAATGTCGCATGAAATATCTGCTTCTGAAACAACCAGCTGCCAAACTGTCTTAAATCTTATGCGCCTTATATATATATGTTACGGTGAAATACCGAAATCTGGCGAATGTCGACTTTCACCGGTGAATGTCAACATTCACATAGTCTCTTGGTGTATGTCCGAAATATTTTCCATATACTCTTATTTCTGACTTACACCGGTCAATGTCAACATTCACCATGTACTCATGGTGAAAGTTGAACATATAACAATATTATATTTTCTTCTCCGTAATTCAGTCGCGAATAAACGCACTTGACACTTGAAATAAGAACTTAAGAACATGAGAACATGAGAACCTAAAACACACAATATATTCAAAATGAGAAAGGCAAATAATAGAAGTTAAAAACTTACTTAATTATACAGTACGTTCTAAATGAGAAAATAAAATAACAGTAATAAAAAAAAACTTACTAAATTATGTGATTCAAATCTTATTTATTGCAACAACTTAAAACTATTATGGCACTTTATGACTTCTCTTTTCGACTAACACCAGAGCATATCTGTGATTGTCGACATACACCGGTGAGGGTCCGAATATGCAAGAATGTAGTGAAATATTCGGTCTTTCACCGACGTATTTGGTGAATGTTGATATTCTCCAGTTAAAGTCGACATTCTCCAATTTTGGTCTTTCACGGTAACATATATATATTGAAATATTCAATTAGCCTGAATAACATTCTGTATTTTAAGGCCCATGTTTAATACATAAAAATTTGTACACTTTTAACCCTAGTATGTAGTATAATTATCACTAATGTACAGAAACAGACTCTGTTTAGGCAATTGTATACCAACGCGAATGTTTTTGAGTACTTTACCACAGTAAATTTTCAAAAATTATATTGCTATTTGCATCAGAAACAGAAAAATCTCAGATCATTGAATTTTGGGTTGAAAAATTTCTGCTCAAATTGTGTATGTTAAAAACCCACTATTAATGTAAAGATAAGTAAGTATTAATTTGTTCATGCTGTTGCAGAAGTTCTAAAAGATAATGCACGTAATTTCATTTAAATGTTACCTATTTTGATGGGGTGGGGGAAATGAATAATAACAAGTAATATTAAAAAAATTTAAATTCCTACTTAGGTCAACAAAGAAAAATTTTAAAAATACAAAAAATAAATAAATAAATAAAAATTTTTTAAAAATTTAATATGTGAAGAAACTGTATTAATATCAAGTGTCATATACTACAGGTTTAAAAAAGTGTATCTGAACTTGAGTGGATGAATAAAAAGTATATTATTATCGATTGAAAATTAATTACTCAATAATTAATTAAATAAAAAAATTAAAGTCAATTTCTGCTTAGGTCAGCAAAGAAAAATGTTAGAAATACAAGAACAAATTTTTTAAAATTCTCTATATGTGAAAAAACTGTATTAACATCAAGTGTCATCCACTAAAAGTTTAAAAAAATGTACCTGAACTTAAGTGGATGAATAAAAAGTATTTTATTAACGATTGAAAATTTGAATAAGATATAGGGAGACTGAGAGCTAATAGTAGGAATTTAAAAAAGAAAAAATAAAGATAACTGAATTCTTAATTTTAAATTTAAGTCCTGAGTCCTTGTATTCCAACTATAGATTCTTTGAAGGAAATTGTTTCCATTTGCAAATACTTATAAATGTTTTTTGATAAATATAAATTTTTATATAGAGTATATATTGTTATATTTAAAAGAAGCACAGCTTAATTTGAGAAACATGATTCATATAAATCAATTTCATTTCAGATGCTGGAAGCCGAGAAATTGAATCAGATTAACGAAAAGAAGAACAAACTACAAGAAGCTAACCAAAAGCGACAAGAATACAACAATAATTTCATCCAATCCACGAAAGAAACCCTTGAACAGAAAATGGAAATCTTCGAGACCAACAGAGAGGCTAAACTTAGAGCTCTACAGGAAAAGCTTAAAGAACATGTAAGACATTTTCCTTACGGCGTTGTTACGTCAAAGAATGTATGTATAAGGTATTTCTCCCGCCTTCTTAGCACCCCCGGATTTGGCGAATGGGTCCCCTAATCCCCAGTCGCCCTTCAAAAGAGGGAGTACATAAAGTATATCTCCCGCCTTTTTAGCATGGCCTCGTGGTGTAATGGTCAGCACTCTCGACGCGTATACGAGAGGTCCGAGGTTCGAGTTCACGGCACATTTTTCATGTCTCCTGCTTCGAAATAACCTAATAAACTCTAGAACTATCTAATAGTTTTTTTAAAAAAAAAAATCTGAGTATAAAGCTTTTTAAAGCAACGTTAATATACTACAACAGCTTTTCATGGAGCATTATTTTATTGAAAAAGTATGAAGTTAACTGATAGTTTTTGAGAAATAATTTTTGATTACCTTTCATCAAATTTTCTTAAAACATTCTGGGGAAATTCCTTTCTGAAAGCGAAGGCAATGTATGCAGTGCAAATGTCGGTAGGTGTAACTCTTAGCGCACATTTGCCGGTCTTCTTAAACCTTTCGCCGATTAACGCTTTCACGAACACAGTTTCTGCTACAAAGACACATTTGCCATCTTCAACTTCATCAAGCCAAAGAGGAGTAGAATTTCCTGGAGGATTTCTCAAATTTTTTTCGGCTCGCCACCACAATGATTCACGTTCTGTCCCAATTAATTTCTAAAAAAAAAAAAAAAAAAAAAAAGACACAAATTTAAAATCAAAAATCAAATTAATGTTTGCCTTTTTTTCAGTCTTTGTTTTGTATCATTGATAATTATATTATTGAGATTTAACAGTAGGATGTTTAGTTTTCCATTTCATAATTATAATTTATTTATAAACAGAGTGATATTTTCTTTTGTATCTACTTTTTGCCCACAGATATTAATACAGAAAACCCCGCTTAACGCGGGGGATACGTTCCATCAAAGTAGAGCGTAATGCGAAACAGCGCTAAATGAGGCTATCTTTACATGTAAATATTGGGGTTAGGGGAAGATGGCTAGGAAATTGGTTAGGTATTAAATTTAAAAAGTATTTTTTTTAATAAAAATAAAACCAAACATTTATTTCTTAAAGCCCAAATTAATACCACATTATTATTTCTTGCAAAAATAAAAACAAAATATAAATAAAAACGAATATTCTTAAAAAAAACAAAATAAAATTCTCAGTCAGTCATATTTAGTTAGCCTTCCGCGTTTTCACTGTTTCTGCCTTTTTGTGACAAAAGCATCTAATGTTGTTTTGCCTTTTCTTTTGCGTTGTTCTCTTAAAAGTTCTTCATAAACGGATAGAGCATCTCTAACACCACGCCTTACTTTTGAGCTCCTGTCAAAATTCGGATCATTTTCAATGAATTGATCCATTATTTCAGTTATGGTAGACAAACTCCTTTTTACAAACGCCATCGAAAGTTCTTTTTGCTCTTCTTCTGAATCACTGCTGTCAACATTTTGTTTTCTTCTTGTTTAGTTAATTCCTTGAGCTCATCATTAGAAAGACTAGCCGCTGCTTCTTGAATTATTTCTTCGACATCTTCCACATTTACCCCTTCAAAATATGTCTGTACAATACCGCACCAAATAAGAAATACAAGTACACTCTTTCGGATATGTATTTGAAACCTATCGCTGCATAATATTTCGGGGAATCCCCGTATGCTGCGAGCGATTTCGTGGAATCCCCGGGTTGAAATAAAAGAGCGCTAAACCGAAACAGCGCTAAACGAAACAGCATTAAGCGGGGTCTTACTGTACATTACTTCGCTATGTGAGATAAGCCTCATCAAATATTCAAATATCATCTGCGTTATTTCTAGGATTTCGCCATGAGAATAAAAGTAGATTTAATTTTCAATGATTAATGATATACACGTAAAAGGAGACAGCAGGCTTCTGCAGGAGAGCAAAATTGTTTTCGCCCAGTATTGCTGAATTAGTGCAGATTCTTGATAGCATGGTATTTGCCTGTCATTCTCCAAACTGTTTTGAACGGTGTCCGCCGATAACATCGCGGGCGAAAACGTCGTTCTAGAAAACATCGCAAAGAGAAAACATCGCAGTTCTAAAACATCGTGGTACAAAACATCGCTGTCGAAAATAAAGCGGTTCAAAAACTTCGCAGTTTAAAAACATCGTCGTCGAAAATATCGTGGTAAAATATAAAGTATCTACAAATCATCGCATGGCAATAACATCGCAGACATACTTTTTTCATGTTTTAATAATTGTAAATGGATATTTCCATAATGATTTGTGAGCGGAAGATGTAAAGAAGGATAACTTTTACTTTCACATTTTTTTATTAACTAATAATTTTTTTCTGAAAATGTAAGAAGGAAACTAAAGCATAGAAAATAAATGCAACTTATAGATTATACTTTTCATCAAAAATTACCAGTAAGAAGTTTATAAAAAATCATTTATTAATGGCCTTTTTTGTTAACTATGTCGGTTTAAAATTCTATTAAGTGCTAAAAGCTGCATCAATTTTCTATGCTTAAGTATACTTCTTATTTTCTCAGCAAAAATTTATTAGTTAATAAAAAAATATGAAAGTAAAAATTATCCTTCTTTCCATCTTGCGCTCACAAATCATTATGGGAATATCCATTTACAGTTATTATTAAAGCATGTCTGCGATGTTATCGTCATGCGATGATTAGTAGATACTTTATTTTTTACCACGATATTTTCGACAACGATGTTTTTAAACGGCGAAGTTTTTGAACCGCTTTATTTTCGACGGCGATGTTTTAGGAATGTGACGTTTTCTCTTTGCGATGTTTTCTCCCACGATATTTTGTAGCACGACGTTTTCGCCTTGCGTTGCTTTCTCCTGGACGTTTTCGTCCGCGATGTTTTCGGCTGTAACCGTTTTGAACTAGTGATGGGCAACTTCGGTACATTCTTGTACCCGGTACGAGAGTAACGGGTACAGAGAAGTACCCGGTACAAAATACCCGTTACTCAAGTAACCGTTACTTTGAAAAGTACCGAAAACCGATTTCAAGTACCGAGTACCCAAGTAACGATTGGAGGAGTACCGAAGAACCGAAGTAACGAAAAAATCGGAGTAAGGAGTAACGGTTTGCTGTACCGGAGTACCCTAGTAACGGTTTACTGTACCGGAGTACCCTAGTAACGATTTGGAGTACCGAAGTACCCTAGTAACGATTTGGAGTACCGAAGTACCCTAGTAACGAAGTATTTAATAAATAAAGGTTAAAACAAAACGTTAAAAAAAACGCATCTCTGGGCGTAATGTAAAATCTGAAATCTTTCGGATTTTTTTTTTTTTAATATTAAATTCAATCTCTTCAATTTGAGACCATACCATTAACTTTATTTAAAAAAAAAAAAGTCTTGAAATTTGACCGAAGCAAATATAGAAACCTAAATAATTGAAACTGCATTAAAAAAGATATTCACATTATGTATGCAGATAAGCAAAATATGGAACGCGCAGTTCAGATAACAAATATATTAATAATCTTTTTACCACTTAAAATAGCAAATGTTTTTTTTAAAATATAGAATTTGTAACTGGCTAATTTTGTTAGGTTAAAAAGTATTCGATTGTAACAATTAGGAATGTTTGTAGAGATATTAGGTTTATTTGAAGCAGGAGAGATGAAAAATGAGCAACACCTTCGCCGGGAATCGAACCACGGACCTCTGGAATACGCGCCTAACGTGCAGACCACCACACCAGGAAAGCATGCCAAGAAGGCGGGAGAAATACTTTATAGGTTATAAAAGATTTTATGTCGTATGAGATTTTTATGTTGCAGTGGCAGTAAATTTTAGCACATTTCCAACAAAAAAAAATTGTAATTGTTTATCACAAAAAGCTAATTTCAATAAACATTAGGAAACATAATAAATAAGACAAAAAAATTAAATGCTTATTAGTAATAATTCCTGAGAAAGGTACATCAAGAATTAAAAAAAAAAAAAAGAAAGAAAACCTGAGATTTTCAATTACGTCCAAAGGGGCGTTTTTTTAACGTTTTGTGTGTTACGTTTATTTATTAAATATCATGTTCTTTGCACTTAAACCATAAAATTCAGTTCCATAGCAATGTCGCAAAATAATTTTAAAATGAGCATATCTTTAGAATTTCTGACACAGTCTCACGCGCCGGTTATCGTCCCCCCCCCCGTATAGTGTTGCCATTGTTCGCTTTGAAATTTTTAAAGTTTGTTAATGAAAAATTCCTTCTTATTTTACAAAATATGAAACAGATGAAACAGTTTTACAAAATATGAAATTGATAATAAAACAGAATCCAAATTTGAGCTTCCATATGCCCATATTCGGGTGGAGGATTACGTTATTCAAAATTTGATGGCTCTAGGTACCGTTGTTTTATCACAATGCGAGAAACATACACATATTCATTCAGATTCTTCATTACTTAATTTCTTTAATTATAATACAGGGTGATAATATTTAGTGGCCAACAATTTAAAAAAATGATATGCCATTTATAGTGATTTGACGTAAAATGCCAAAACAAAATTAATAGCCCTTCTGGGCTAACACCTTTTGGGCTAAAAATATGCGTTTCATGCGACAAAAGCATTTAAATTCTAAAAAGCGTGAAACTGAAACCAAGTGAATGTTGCAAGAATAATTTCCTGTTATGCCGAGCAGATTTAGAAAATGATATGGTCTTGTTCTATTTATGAACTATATTTTCTCTTTATATTCTTCTTAATAATAAGGAGAAAACGGCAAAATTATCGTTACTGGGAAATTCACGTCCCACTCATAACTGAAAATACACTCTTGCTTCATATTTCGCCACTCTCTCGGAAAATAATATATTTTTCGAAATACGTGAAGGTCAGATATAGCATGACAATTAGAAAATATAAATTTAAACTCAATCAGGATCCAGTTATAGATCTAACCTTTGTCGTTAAATATATAATATGCTGTTTCAAAGAATTTTATAAATAAAAATACTATTAAAAAACCAGAAAGCCCGTCCCAAAAGGACGTTTTTTTCATTTGTGCATACATACACGTTTCGAGAGGATTCGCGTTACCGTTTCGACGTAAAGATATTTAAAAACAGCAAATTTTTAGAACCTCTAATCGAAAATTTCGCGCGCTGGAGATAAAAATATTTTATTCCATACAGTGTGTTTCCACTAGTAGCTTTGAAATTGTTTAGTTTAATCAAAAATTCCTTTAAAATTTTAAAAAATATGAAATCGATAATAAAACAAAATCGAAATTGAAGATTAGGGCTTTCAGGTGCCCATATTCGGGTGGAGGACTACGTTATTCAAAATTGGATGGCTCTAGGTATCGTTGTTTTATCACAATGCCAGAAACATGCATACATTCATGTGCATTCTTCATTATTTAATTTCTTTAAATATAATATAGGACGATAATATTGGTTGTCAACAATTTGAAAAGTGATACAGCCGTTTATTGTGATTGGATGTAAAATTCAATTTCGAAACTAATAATCTAAATCTTCTAAATTTTGAAGTGTACTGGTAAGTAGTATCTTATTATAATGAAAAATAGATTTGAAGTTTTCCTGAGAAAATTAAATTAAATTGCAAGAGAAATTTTTTTTTTTTTTTTTTTTTGTGGTTTTTTTTTTTTTTTTTTGTTTTTTTTTTTGAAATTTTTTTTTTTTGTTTTTGTTTTTTTTTTTTTTTTGTTTTTTTTTTTTTTTTTTTTTTTTTTGCGAAAGTAAATTTCGATTATTTACATAATAAATGACATGTCACAATAATGCCTGATTATTGTTTAGGCCGACAAGACCCCAGGTTTTACAGGATCCTAAAATCTTATTGTAATTTCTCATAATTCTGTTTTTACTTCCTTGTACGAAGTAAAAAGGAAGTATTGTAATCGCGAAACGTTTCAGGCAGCATATTTCAACGAAAATATCCATTTTGACCGCTATCGAATGCAATTTAACGATGTTTTTGCGTGATATCTGTACATAAGGGCAGAATAAAGTCGTTTCCTCCAAAAAAATTATAAAACTGCTTTAAAATTAATTCTGAAGAGAATTTTTCGTGGCGTCTGTACGAACGTATGTACGTAAGTACGTATCTCGCATAACTCATAAACGAGTAGCCTCAAAACGTTGAAATTTTGTATATAGGACTGCTATAACATGTAGATGTGCACCTCGTATTTTGGTTGCAATCGGCCGCACCAAACGTATATAAATATATTTATATATTTATCCACTCTGTTACCCGGCTCAGTGATCTCAGTTTCTTTACTCTTATATGTTTGTAAATTGTACATTTTTTTGCTTTAAAAAATGATTGAATTATGTTGTTTTTATCTTCCGGTTAATGTTTTTATGCCTTTAGTAAATCTGTATGCAATATTTTTAGAATTATCAACAATTTTAAAGTTGTTTAAGTGCCGCTAAGCCTTTTTTTATGGCGGCCATTGATTGTTTACATTTGAAACAGCAGACTAGTGGATTTGTTGCCAATCGAGAGAAACTTAGCTTCGCAACAAGAAGGATAACGCCTTCATTTATTATTACCAATTAAATCATGCTTAATCGTTTCTGGAATTTTTTTCGAGGAAATAAACGTTTAACATTTACTTCGTAATTTTTAATGTAGATATTTTGAGTTTTTATGTATTTTTGCCGTCTCGCGAAGTGAGAACTGAATTAATTGAATGAGAAATACTCAATCGTCTGTGAAAAACTGTTTCTTTTTTGTTTTGTTTGCTTAATTTCTTTTATACATCGTTCTAGCTTTATTATAGTGTTTGAATAGAACATGTGGCAACGATTAGATAATTCTTCAAATGATATAAATTTTGTGCATTCTGAGTTATAATATGTACGAAATATAATACTGTTAAGTAAACCTAGCGCCAGAGTGTCGCTATGGTAAACAAAGTGAATTTTAAAGTATGCATTTATTCTATTGTGGTTTATTCGCCGTCGGCGAAGTAGATTTAATTCAATCCAATAAAGTTTAAATGAAATGCAAGAAAAAATGCGTGTAAATTATACGCATTTTATTAAATTAATATTCCGTACAAGGAAGTCATGTGGTGTACACATCAGATTTTTTTTAAGTGCAGTCGAAAATATCTTAGCAGATAAATTAACTCACATTCACTGTTCCAAAAAAAAAAAATTTTTTTTTCGTTGAGATAAATTGAGTTTAGATGCACCATGAATATCCGCCCCCCCCAACCCGAAGTACTCGAAATCATTTGAAATGTGGTCACAGCAACTTAATTTATTATATTTCTTTTCTATTTTGTTGGGGAAGAAAACTTCCCGAATATCTAGACCAAAGGACTATTAGTCTCAAAACTGCATTTTGCGTCGTTTTCACTTTTTGCGTTGGTTCTCTTTTCAAACTGTTGCCACCGAATATTATCGCTATGTATTATATTTAAAGAAACTAAATAACGAAGAATCTGCATAACTGTTTCTCGCACTGTGAAAAAACAACTGTGTCTAGAGCCATCCAGTTTTGACATGTGCAATCTAAAAAACGAATTTTGAATTTCGGTTTTATCTAATTCAAATTTTGTAAAACTTTAACGAATTTTCGATTAACAAACTCAACGATTTCAGAAGCGAGTTATATAACACTGTACGGAAGAAAACATTTTTATCTCCAGCGCTCGAAACTGTGTCGGAAACTCTGAAGATATATTTTAAATTATTTTGTGATATTGCTGTTGAATTGAATTTTATATGGTTTAAGTGCGGAAAACATGATATTTAATAAATAAAGGTAACACATAAAACATAAAAAGCGCTTTTTTGGGTGTAATATAAAATCTGAAAGTTTTGAGGATTTTTTTTCCTTTTTTAAAAATTTTTTACTAATTTTAATTAGGCTTTCTCTCCACTTTACTCTCCCTTTCACGCGTTTTCTCCTCCTAAACCTTTTAGTGTTTTTAATTAACATGCCTGGTAGTTCGGTCCGAAGTTCGAATCCCGCAAACGGGCTCGCTGCATGGGCGTTTTCGTGGTTTTCCCCATGTGTAACGTGTATACGAGCCAGTTTCCCTTAGAAAGTTCTCCACGAAGGCATCCCTCCCGTTAGGCAGATAGCCCTCGAGGTTTTGCCATAATCACACACACACATTAATTAACATGCTAATTTTATTTTACTCTATTAACATCTGCGGACTTAATTTTTCCGTGGCTTTACGTTTTCTGTTGTGTTATTTTAAGCATTTTGTGGTTACGTTTTTACTTTCTCGGAATTTTATAAAACACCAGAACAATATAATTTAGTCCAAAGGGATTTGTATCCGAAGGACTATTTTCGTTTTGGCATTTTGCGTCGGACGGATAAATGTCGGTTCACTTTTCAAACTGTTGCCATAAAATGTTAGAGTCCTGCATTATATTTGAAGAAATTAAATAATGAAAATCTGCGTAAATGTATGTATATTTCTCGCATTGTCATAAAATAACGGTACATAGAGTCATCGAATTTTGAATAACGTAATCCTCCAACGAATATGAGCATGTGGAAGACCAAATTTGAAATTTGAAATTTGTTTTATGATCGATTTCCTATTTTTTAAAACTTTGACGAATTTTTGATTAACAAACTCAAGGATTTCAAAGCGAGCAATGGCAACGTTGTGCAGAAAAAACATTTTTATCTCCAGCGCGTGAGTCTCTGTATCGGAAATTCTAAAGATATGCTCGTTTAAAAATTATTTTGCGATATTGCTGTTGCACTGGATCTTATGGTTTAAGTGCGAGGAACATGATATTTAATAAAGAAAGGTAACACACAAAATGTTAAAAAACGCCCCTTTGGACGTAATTTAAAATCTGAAACATTTTTTTTTTTTTTTTTTTTATTTTTTTTTTTTATTTTATTTACGTATATTTACGTTAGTTCGTTTGATATTTGCCAAAATAAAAATATTATTTTAATTGTAATGCGTTTTTTTTTTGCAGGAGCGACATATCGAAGAAGTCCGGCAAACCAAAAATCTTAATTTGGTTGAAGCCACTCAGGAGGAGAGTGTTGCGTCATCGGGCTAATTAAACCATCCACAGAAAACTCGCCAAGCACTGTTTTCCGCCAAATTTCTGCCGCTTCATATCATTGAATAGTTGATCTCACAAGTCAAAATGTCATAAGTTTATGTCTAAAATATTAAAATTGGAAACAAGTAGTGTTATGGAAAACGAGATCGTGCTTTGCCAGGATAAAAATTCCTTTGCTTGCTTTCGTCGTTATTTAGTTCACCTCCTTGTCATTTGTTGTGTTTCTGTTTCATTTGATTGATGTGTTTGTTGTTTTAGAGAATGTGCACGCTTTCTAACATGTTTATGATTGCTCAGAAGTCTTCGTATTTAGGATTTTATGCAAGTTTTTATGCGATTTTACTTTTATTTGTCATATAAGTAACGAATAAAGTTCGCTTTCAAAGGTTGTGTCAGCTTTTGAAGAAAAGTGCTCTTAAATAGAGTGATGTGTAGTGAAAAGGTTATATGAAAGCTTTGTGATGCGTATAGTCCAGAGTTTTTTGTAATATTTTAATATTTAACTGCTATCAGTTAAAAGGGCATACTAATGCATTAGATGCAATTTTATTTCTTACGTAAAAGCAGAATACTGTAGAAGTTTTAAATATATGATTAATTAGTGCAACAATCGTCTGAAAATGCTATATCTAGATTACTCGTTGTAAACTTATAAACCTAAAAATACAAATTAATTTTAATAAAGCTTCTACAATCACGTGGTAAACAAAAGTAATGCATTTCTATGGTTAAACAAAGAATGTACTGAAGTTACCTTCCATATTATATTTTCAAAAAAATTAGTATACATATGGCAAGGATCATATTAATTATAAAAAATTAGTATTAATTAAAGGACACAAAAATCTCCTTTCCTTGCGTAAGCTCAAATAGTATTCTAGTCATTGAAATGAGAGTTGAGAAGTTTACTTAGTTCATACGAGATCTTGCAAGTTTTGCTCACTTCAGACGATATTAAACAAAAATTATAGATTTCTTCTGTTAATAATACATCAGTTAAAAAGTTTAAAAGATTTTCCATATAAACAGCTTACAAATTCTCTGTGTAATAATCTGATAAATTGCAGTGGTTATAAATAATGAATATGTTAAAATATTTAGAATGTTTAAGCAACAAAATGGCAGTTAATTAATATAATTAGAAAGAGTACATCATAGAAAATTGCCTACACTGTTATAAATGAACAGAAGCGGCTGATATTTAATTAAAATTCTTGTTATCATAAAAATTAAGTTCTGCAAAATGTTTTTAATAAAGGTGTTTTAAATTAATTTTTAGTACCAGTTATTCAAATGCATATACTGCATCCAAACTAAGTTTATTATTTCCTCTCATGTATCAAATTTAGTTTCTAACTGCTATGTATCAGATATGTAATTAAATTTCATGTGTACCTGTCTATGTTATAGACTAATACCTCACCACTATGCATGTTCATAAAACACCTAACACGTGTAGTTATACAAAACGGAATTTGCTGTGTTTAATGATTTGTTCTTAAGGACTTTCAAGTATTCAGTAATAAATAAATATGCAACTTTAAATATAATTTAGTATACATTATTAATATATCTTTTAAATTCATTTATAGTGCGATGACCAAACCTGTTGTTCTTATTTCTCTGCAAAACGTCGATAATGTAAGAAAGTATGATAAAGCATAGTATGTTGTTGTGTATATGTTGGCTTTCAGTTTCATATGCAGTCTATATTAATAATACAAGAACATACCACAAACGTGAAAATCTTGAAAGTGTATTCTTAATGCAATACATACTGAAAGAAAATGCATCATAAAATTTCGAAAAATACTGTACAAAATTTAATTACGCTACTTCTTATTTGCATGTTTAAATTTTTGCTTTCATTTTAATTCGTTGCCACTGACAGAGAAATAAATTTCACTTTCATAAAATGAAAAAAGAAATGTGTTTAAGTGTCAAGTGCTTTCGTTTATTTGAATTTTGTACATCAAAACTGTTCTGGGACCATTACATTTCTGTGCTCAATTGTTGTTCGAGTACGTACGATATCAAAATTAAACATATACAATTTTACAGTTTCGAGAATTTATACGTATTGCTAAAACTAAATAACTTTTATTTTAAATAAAGTTAATTGTTAACTGGTTTTGCGCTTTCGATTTTATACTATGAATACAAATCAAAATTATTGCTTCTTATATATTTTTATTCAATGTTGTGCTTGTTATTTGATAAAAATTTGGTCTTCTCTCTATAAATATTCAGCTTTTGTTCGATAAAACTTAAGCTTGGAGTGATTGTTATCCTATGATGCTGTAACGCTAACTTTTCGCAAGCTTTGTTGAGTGCAATTTTACATTTCTTAGTAATTTTTATGTCATATGTCCTCTAATAAAATCTATGTCCAGTTCTTGTCTCTTCATTTACAACGCCATAAAACTCACTCTTCTATTAAACTGATATCTTTAGCTTAGAACAAATACAAAGAAAATTTTTATTGAACAGATGTTAGATATTAACACACACTGTATTCACAAAAACAGTGTATTGCTGGTAAATAAGGAAACTTAATTTATTAGAAATATTATTTTGAAATATTCGAATGAATATCATTAAATGCACTTTTAAAAGTTTAAAAACATTGAAATATTCGTAAATTTTCAGGATAATGTGATATTTTCGAAAGTACACCTTGACTGGGTAAACCTGACCTGTAAAAAAATGGTTAGGTTAGGTTATTTAATTACGGCAAAGCCTCGAAGGCTATCTGCCTAAGGGGGAGGGATGCCTTCTGAGAGACTTTCTAAGGAAACTGCTCGTATACCCTTACCATAGGGAAAACACCCATGCAGCCAGCCCGTTCGCGGGATTCGAACCTCGGACCAAACTACCAGTGTTCAGCGACTTGACCGCTCGGCCGCTAGTGGGCTTTTCCATGTCTCGAAAGCGCGACTTGGGATATATATTAGATTCATATATATAGCATTGTTCTAACATAGGTATTTTGACACAAAAAAGCGGACTTTTCCTAATACCATACCAATATTTTTCCATGTTTCGATTCTACGACTCAGATTATACCAAAATACTAAGTTTTGTAAAAAATCGCACGAGTAGTTTTTAAAAAATTAGCTCTCAAAATTTTAGCTTCTCCACGTTAATCGATTAATCGACTTTGGTATATATTTATTAATATCGCTTTCTTTATTAAATTTTTTTATTCTTCCTTTCGATTTCGAATTTTAGATTCATTCCAAATAAAATTCGCCCATTTTTAAAGATTTATTTTTAAAATTTGTATTTTAAGTAATTCTTATAAATGTTTCGAAAACGATTTTGAATTATAACCTATAAAATTTTTACTATCATCTTAAACTAGATTCATTTCTAAGCACACCTGCAAAAAATTGAAGTCTTTTATTCAAAATTTCCTGATATATACGTGAATTTATATATGGGCGCGTTTTGAAATTTGGCATAATTGTTACAAGCGATAATAACGCTGAATGTGGTTCACGCACTTTTAAATAAAAATAAGAGAAGTTTTTAAATTTCACCATAAGTGTCTCATCAAAAATTACAAAATTTAATATCTAGGCATAATTTGAGTCGTAGAATCGAAATATGGAAACAAATTCAGAAAACTCCGCTTTTGTGTCAAAATACCTATGTTAGAACAATGCTATATATATGTAATATAAAATTCCATAATGTCAAGAATACCTTAAATTCTAACTGTATGTCTTTTCATTTTTTAATGGCGACGTTCTCTTATTTGAAAGTACGGGAATTAAATCCACAGCCCCATAATCAAGTTGTTTTTCCCGCCTTTTCTACACGTTCAGTTATAGAATGTTCTGGAGTTATTTAAAGCGAACTGGACTGACTGACGAGGCTGAAGCCATTTCTTTGAAGCTCCGCCTTTCCAGAGGCTATAAAGGGACTCGCAGAAGAATATCGGGGCTTTTTCTTAAATGTCACGATGCAGTTAACTTCATACAAAAAGTTATTAGTAATTATTTTTTATTTATTCCGGATATCTTAATTTTTGTAACTGCTATTCCTTCTGAAATATAATAATTTTTTTTTTTAAACTTATCGTCTGATTATTAAGCTACGACTAAAGCTGATACATCACATATATATAAATCTAAAAAGAGAACATTATTTTAAAATAATAAATACTGAAAAATTATACAAAATATTTATGCTTTTCTAACGAAGAAAAACCTGCCCTCGAAATAATAAAATTCCCCACGTTTACATTAAAGTTTATTATTACGTTTACATTACATTTAAATTTTTATAGTTTTGAATATATGTGTGTGAATTTAGTGGTAAATTCTCTCGATCAACCTAATTTAGGATTATAAGTTTACATGTATTGCTTTCATTTTTGAAAATGTGCAAACAGCATTTAAAAGTAAAGTGCTATTCTTAAATCTACATATTATAATTAATAATGTGAAAAATTCAGAAAAATCCGTACATCGTTTGTTTAGTTCCAAAGCATTTTAAGCATAAGTAGTTCCAAATTTAACTTTTCGAAGAAATATAATGTACTCAGTTATTTTTCAAGTACAGGTTAGATTATATATTCAGGTATAGTTATTAGATTATTGTGATGCTGGAGGGGAGGACTCGAACCTGGACCTCTCGAATGCACGCCGAGTGTGCTAACCGTTACACCACGAAGGCATGCTGGAAGGAGGAAACAAATAAGAGTGAATGCACGCCGAGTGTGCTAACCGTTACACCACGAAGGCATGCTGGAAGGAGGAAACAAATAAGAGTGACTGGAGATTAGGGGACATAGTCGCCAAATTATGACAAGTGACGGAGGACGTGGGCACTGTCCCTTTACCTTAATCCGAATTGTGGTAGTAAAGAATCGTCATCCAACACCTTTTAGTTCGGGTACCATTGTAGAATCATTAGGTTTCTTTTCGAAGAAATATAATGTACTCAGTTATCTTTCAAGTACAGGTTAGATTATATATTCAGGTATAGTTATTAGATTATTGTGATGCTGGAGGGGGGGACTCGAACCTGGACCTCTCGAATGCACGCCGAGTGTGCTAACCGTTACACCACGAAGGCATGCTGGAAGGAGGAAACAAATAAGAGTGACTGGAGATTAGGGGACATAGTCGCCAAATTATGACAAGTGACGGAGGACGTGGGCACTGTCCCTTTACCTTAATCCGAATTGTGGTAGTAAAGAATCGTCATCCAACACCTTTTAGTTCGGGTACCATTGTAGAATCTTTAGGTTTCTTGAAGCAGAAGACATGAAAAATGAGCAGTGCCCTCGCCGGCACTCGAACCTGTACCTCTCCGAATACGCGTCGAGTGTTACACCATGAAGGCATGCTGACAGAAGAAAAAAAAAATATATACTCTCCTTTTTACTTCCTTGTACGAAGTAAAAAGGAAGTATCGTAATCGCGAAAAGTTTCAGGCAGCATATTTCAACGAAAATATCCATCTTAACCGCTATCGAATGCAATTTAACGATGTTTTTGCGTGATATTTGTACGTAAGGACACAATAAAATACTCTTTTCCTTCAAAAAAATTATAAAACTGCTTTAAAATGAATTCTGAAGAGAATTTTTCGTGGCGTCTGTGCGTACGTACGTATCTCGCATAACTCAAAACGAGTAGCCTCAGAACGTTGAAATTTTGCTAAACATGTAGATGTGCACCTCGTATTTTTTTGGGCAATCGCAGCACCAAACGTATATAAATATTTATATATATATATCCACTCTGTACCCGGCTCAGAGATCTCAGTTTCCTTACTCTTATATGCTTGTAAATTGTACATTTTTTCCTTTAAAAATGATTGAATTATGTTGTTTTTATCTTCCGGTTAAGGATTTTATGTCTTTAGTAAATCTGTGTGTAATATTTTTAGAATTATCAGCAATTTTAAAGCTGTTTAATTGCTGCTAAGCCTGTTTTTAATGGCGGCCATTGATGTTTACATTTGAAACAGGAGACTAGTAGATTTGTTACCAATCTAGAGAAACTTGGCTTCGCAACAACAAAGATAACGCATTCATTTATTATTGTCAATTAAATCATGCTTAATTCTTTCTGAAATTTTTTCGAGGAAATAAGTGTTTGAGATTTACTTCGTAATTTTTAATATAGATTCGTAATTTAATATTCCAATACAAGGAAGTCATGTGGTGTACACATGAGATTTTTTTAATGAGCGATTGGATTAGGAAGCTTAATCGCCAAATCCTGGTGGTGAAAAATCACCATCCACCACCTTTCAATTCGGGCGCCACTGTAGTGTCATTAGGTTATTCTGAAGCAAGAGAAGTGAAAATATGCAATGCCTTCGCAGGGATTCAAACCTGAACCTCTCGAATACGCGCCGTGTGTGCTGACCGTTACACCACAAAGGCATGCTGCAAGTAGGACGAAAATACATTATAATTATGAGGATAGTAAATGAAAACAAGACTATCATAGGAATAGGACATTAAATATTTTAGTTTTTCATTTATTTACGAGTTGATGTGTTGAACGAGTGAGTTATGTGTCGTCTTACTATTTTTTGTTTCTAACCGATTATGCTTATGATTTTCCTTATTTTGTTTTGTGCGAGTGTATTTTTAAAGATACACAATCTGTGTTAATCGGTATTTTAATCTTTTGTTTTTATCTTTTAACTGTACTTTTGTTCGTCTGCGTCGGGGTGTGCTGCGTTAACCATGAGGCCGATTATTATCGGCCAGGAGGGTTGCAGCATACTCGTAAACTAAACTAAACTAAACCTTATAAGGTAAAACTGAATTTATAAAATTTAGTAACCCATTAGCCACGAGAATAAAAAATAATCATAACTTTTTATTAATTTAAGATAATTTGAAATTTTGTTATTCTACAAATATGTATATGAAAATATTTTTTAAAATGTCTATGCGTATATGAAAATATTTTTAAGAAATGTAAATAGCTTCAATTTACTTAATTTCTTTATAAATATAATGTGAGATTTTTGAACGTAAAAATAACTGTTTCGCCTTACGAAAGATATAGTCAATAGGCAAAAGAATGAATTCCTAAATGAATGGTTTGGTTTGGTCTGCATGATTACGGTAAAGCCTCCAAGGCTATCAGCCTAAGAGAAGGCATGCCTTCGTGGAGGAGTTTCTAAGGGAAACTGGCTCGTATACAAGTTACACATGGGAGAAAACGCCCATGCAGCCAGCCCGTTTGCGGGATTCGAACCTCGGACTGAACTACCAGTGTTCAGCGACTTTACTACTCTGCCGCTGATGCTTCTAAATGAATGAGAAAACTAATAATATGAGTGACGAATCCTGAACTCATTTATTAATTGCATAAAAATAGTATTTTAATTTCATTGAAATCCTATTATAGCAGGGG